CTTTTTCTTTCCCCTTCTCGACCCATGCCATACTGATCATATTTACTGGGGCCTCTGAGAAGGGATCTGTATGTTTGTCCACCATTGCTTCTTCTGACTGGCTGGTTTTAAGTCTTTCTCTTTCCTTATCATCTTTTCCCTTAAGTTGAGGTAAAGATATAGGAATAGTCAGTCTTATAACCAGGTCTGCTTTCCTTCTGAAGCCTGCGGAGGCGCTCTCCAGTCTTTGCAACATTTGCAACAAGGTAGTTTGCAAGTCTTCATTAAAATTTTCTGGAACAACCGCTATTTTTATGTCTTCAGGTTTTCTTGACATATTTCTTTGGTAAGTAAGATCTGATTAAAGAAATCCCACCAAGCATGCCAAAACTATGTTCGTGGCTAGAATTTCCATTGGGGATGTTTCCTAACAGACGAGCACATAGCTCCCCGAGAGGTTGGCGCCGGTTGATGTTTTCTGTCGGGCTTCTACTCACTAGCGGGCTTGTCGGGCAAAGCTTGTCAGACAAAGCTGAAAGAGAAGGACAAGGTTAATTTTGAAAGGTGCCTTTGTGGGGCCTTAAGTATAGGCCTTGAGGCTTACAATCAAGATTAACTTTTAGGTGTTCAAGCGTGCCACTGCCATCTTTAGCATGGCAGATGTTAAGTTTTAGTTGTATATATACCCGAGAGGCTGTTTTAGTTATGAAAGGTGCCTTTGTGGGGCCTTAGGTGTAGGCCTTGAGGCTCACAATCACGAACTAACCTAGTACTCGAACATATAATGTTTGTTTCATTGATTGCAGAAGTATTATGACTATTATACTTCTAATTACCCGAGCCCGAAGAGCAGAATGAATCCAAATAGGTGCCTTTGTAGGGCCTTAGATGTAGGCCTTGAGGCTTCCCATCAGAATTACTTCTATACTCAAACGTTCCATGATAATCATAATATAACAGAAATACAACTAAGAAATAGGTCGATTACTTGCGCCCCAAGTAACTTCGGACTTCTTGTTATCAAAGACTGTCGTGGATAGGTTAAGTCCACATAAAGTTCTTTTTTATGCCTTGAGACCAAGGACTTTTGAATGATCAATCTTACATGCCCGAGGGTTTAGAACTCAAATCTAATTTAAACTGTGAATACAGATTCCAATCGGATTCAAGAACTGAGAAGTCTTTTAATCATTAACTTGCTAGAAATAATTTGGATACAAATGGAAGTATACAACATATTACTAGACTTATGAATGAAAAGACAAAAACAAAGAGGGTCGGGCAAGGCTGGTCGTCTTGCAACTTCCTATCTTTGTGATTTATAAAGGGGTTTAAGAGCTTAGAAAGAGGGATAGGGGGATGAGTTTACAGAAGGAAATCGATACTACAACAAGATTTAGACAAGGTAGCAGAGCTTTTACAAATGCTTTTGGTGAGGGTTGATCCCGAAAGGGATGAAGGCTTGGGCTGATTACAGCTTCGTTGAAGGCAAATTTGGCTTGAGCAGAGTTTGTGTATTTGTTTGTTTGTTTGAGTGTCCTTATCTCTAATTTCTCTTTCTTCTTTTATAGACAGTTTGGCTTGGCCTCCTGTAGCATTAATCTTGCCCGAATGCAGCTTAAAGGCAATGACTCATCAGCTTTTTACTTGTACTACCACTGTAAAGTGCTTTTTGGGATGATTAGTTGGCTGGTCTACACCACTTGGTCTCTAGGTAGGTGAGCAAATGGTTCAATGATCTGCACCTAGTCGGGAAAAGCCTTTTTCTGCCTTCTGGGCTTTGGTTGAGCTTCAGGCTCATTTCCCCCTAGTCCTTCTTTTGGGCCAACTCCCTTTTGAGCCCAAAGTTCAAGTTTTAACCCAAACACAAAACAAACAGATGTCAGCAGAAAGAAAAAAAATAAATTTTCCAATCTACACGTATAACATATGCAAAGTCAAACCACACACCCACTTAACTCCTCAAAAGTCCAAACATTGATGCGAGAAGCCTTATATTGAAGATTATCCATTTTTTGGATTAGTAAATGAATATCATCTTTATAAGAAAGTTGATCAAAGGAGCTGGGATTTTCAAGGAGCTAGAGGGATGGGAAATATCCTATGTGAGTCTAGTTTGATGGTGGAGGCGGAAGCAATGAGGGTGGCTTTGTTGGCTTGTATGGAAAAAGGCTTTGGGAAATAGATTCGAAGATTACGGTGGACATGTTAAATGGAGTATTACAACCAGATGCCGTCATTGAAGGTATTCTTTGGGACATTCAGCAGCTAAAGGAGCAATTAAGTTCGATTGAGTTTCCTCTCATTCCATGTGCTTGTAATTGTTAACAAACCAACTGTATGGAAAAAACTTAGAGAAGAAGATATCGAACACAAAGAAATAGAGAGAGAAAGTAGAGAGGGAAAAATAATCTTGTTATATTTTCTTATGTTTATGACAAGACTCATCTCTTATAAATACAACACACCTTATGACTAACATTCACAACCCTAATACAATTATGACACATGGCATAGCTATATCCTAACATTCCCCCTCAAGCTTATGCTTGGAAGAACCAAGCATAAGATTGTTACAATGTGAGCTAAATAGAGGATAACATAAGCCCTTGGTAAAGATGTCAGCATGCTGCTCTGAGGATGCAACAAACTGCAAGATAATGGAACCTTGTTGAACACGTTCTCGAACAAAATGACAATCGATTTCAATATGTTTAGCTTTAGAATGTAAGACGGGATTTGTTGCCAGTGCCATAGCAAAAATATTGTCATAGTGTAAAAGAGGAACGTCTGAACAGGGAAGATGCAAGTCATTGAGTATTTGTTGTAACCAAACCACCTCAGCAGTTGTTGTCGCCATATCACGATACTCAGCCTCGATCGATGAATGACTAACCGTGTGCTGCTTCTTAGAACTCCAAGATACAGGATTATTGCCTAGGAATAAGATAAAACCTGTGGTGGATCTCCTGTCATTAGGATCCCCATCCCAATCAGCATCCGTATATTCTTTAAGATCCATATTTCCAGGTTGAAAACACAAGCCAAGATTCATGGACCCTCGAAGGTACCGCAATATCCATTTAACAGCAATGAAATGACTATCCAGAAGTGAGTGCATGAATTGACAAACTTGATTGACCGAGTATGCAATATCCAGTCGTGTAAATGTCAAATATTGGAGAGCACCAACAATGCTGCGATAGATACCCGGATCATGGAAAGGAAGACTACCATGATTCAGCAGCTTCTGAGTTAGATGACAAGGAGTTGTACACGGTTTGCAATCCATCATATTTGTCTTAGTTAGAAGATCAGTAACATACTTGGTTGATGCACCAGGAAACCTGTAGGTTGATAATCAATCTGAAGACCAAGGAAATAGTGTAAAATCCCGAGGTCCTTCATATCAAATTCAGTTGTTAACTGATCTATGACAGCTTGAACTTGAGTATCACAATCACCACTGAGAATTATATCATCAACATATAATAACAGTACAACAATAGACTGACCATTCTGCTTCACATATAACGATGGATCAGCATATGAGGATTTAAAACCCAAGGTAAGAAGAAACCTGGAAAATCTGTCATTCCAAGCTCGAGGAGCTTGCTTAAGGCCATAGAGAGACCGGTCCAATTTGCACACAAACTCAGGATGATCAGGATCAATGAAGCCTTGTAGCTGAGACATATACACCTTTTCATCAAGAAAACCATGAAGAAAAGCGTTCTTGACATCTAATTGTTTTAATTTCCAACGTTTTGTAGCAGCTAGGGACAACAGAAGTCTCACCGTGGTTGGCTTGACGACAGGATTGAAAGTTTCATGATAGTTAAGACCGGCTTCTTGGGAAAAACCCTTGGCCACCAACCTGGCCTTGTATCGAGCAACTGAACCATCCGGATTACGTTTGATCTTATAGATCCATTTACAACCAACCAAGTTCTTGTTAGGTGGAAGAGGAACTAATCTCCAGGTTTTCTGCTTCACAAGAGCTGCCATTTCATCTTCCATAGCTTGTCTCCACTCAGAGGACTGAACAGCAACCTTGAAAGACTGTGGCTCAGTGATAGAAGAAGACTGTACCTGAGCAAGAAGAGTCTTCTTTTTTAATATGCCAGATTTCGACCTTGTTTGCATTGGATGTGTATTGATTTGAGACACTGGAACATGATGCAGTGCTTGAACTTGAGAAGTAGTAACATCAGGATTAATATCAGCATGCTCCACAGACTGTGCAACTGTGGCCTCAGTAGGTAAGCGTTGAGAAGAGATAAGATCACCAAGTATGGAGGAAGAGGACTGAGTAACAGAATGAGAATCTGTGGTATGGGAAGAAGAAGAAGGAAATGGACTATGGGGAAAAGGAATAGGAATAAAAGATGGATGTTGAAATGTATTGGGATGAGGTATAATCGACGGTGCCAATGATGGTGAACTAGAAACAGAACCTGGTAAGCTAGGAAATGTATCTTCATCAAACACAACATGCCTAGAGACAATTAGTTTATGGTCTCGGATAGCATAAATATATCCTTTGTACTGAGCTGCATAACCCAGAAATATGCACTGTGTAGTTTTTGGTTCCAACTTGTTGTGTCTATAGGGTTTTAAAGTAGGGTAACATGCACATCCAAAGACTCTTAAATGATCAAGCCTAGGTGGAGAGTGATATAACTTTTCAAATGGGGAATGCATATGTAAAACAGGTGTAGGCATTCGATTGATAAGAAATGTGGCTATGACACAAGCATGAAACCAAAACTGTGAAGGAATAGAGGCTTTTTGTAGTAAAGTAAGGGCAGTTTCAACTATGTGACGATTTTTTCTCTCAACCAACCCATTTTGTTCAGGAGTATAGGGACAAGACTTTTGATGCAATATACCTTTGGTTCTAAGAAACTTCTAAAACATAGATCCAACAAACTCTCCACCACCATCACTTTGTAAGACTTTGATAGTAACATAAAATGAATTTTGAATGAAAGCATGAAACTGAATAAAGGTTTCACAAACTGCAGCTTTATTCATGATTGGAAAAATCCATGTATATCTTGTACATTCATCTATGAAAGACACATAGTACCTATAACCCTCTATAGACATGATAGGTGCAGGGCCCCACACATCTGTGTGAATGACTTCAAATGGTACATTGGACTTAGATGCTGCTAATGGGAATGGTAATTTTGTAAACTTGCCTTGTAAGCAAGAGGTACATGGTTGAGGAACAGAATGACAATGGAAAGAAATATCTGCCTTACTAAGAGCAGATTGAACTACATAATTGGTGGGATGACCCAATCTGCAATGCCACAGGGTAGTATTAACTTTCTGGCCAAGATAAGCAGCAGGTTTGACCTATGGTTGTTTGAGCAAAGGAAGTGGGTAAACAGCATTGTTACTCAGTCCTTGAAAGAGAACCTTGTTGGTGACCTTGTCCTGTATGCACACAAAAAACTCATCAACAATGCATCGACAATTATTGTCCTTACATAATTGATGCATGGAAAGTAAATGTTGAGATAATTGTGGAACATGAAGCACTGTTTTTAACTGAAGTTTATGAGAATGAGTAATAAGAGAAGACTGTCCAATATGTGAAATATGTAAACCTTCACCATTAACCCCAGTTACAGTTTTAGTGGATGGATATGGGGTAGGAGCTTGTAGACAGGACAGATCAGAGGTCATATGATTGGTAGCACCAGAATCAAGCAGCCAATACTCTTGCGGAGGTGCAGAAGGTGAGAAGTTAGTTCTTGCAGTGAAAGCAACGGGAGAAGTAGCTTGTTGTGACATGTTCTGATGCTGCACATAGGGTGGATGCATTTGTTGAATCGGAGCAGGAGCTTGAAATTGTTGAGACTGATATTGTTGAACAGGAGCAGGAGCCTGAAACTGGTAAGACTGATACATAGGCTGAGACATGGGCATAGGAGAAGTACCCCTGTCGAAACATGTAGCTGCAGTGTGACCAACCCTATTGCAAATTTGGCACCCACGCTGAAAACAATGGAGTGCAGAGTGTCCTTTTTTATCACAAATTTGACAGACCAACATAGGATTATAAGGTTATGGAGTTTGAAAACTAGATTGTGGTTGAGACTGAGCATTGGTTTGAACAGACCCCTGATAACCTGAGTGAAATTTGTTCCCTTCCCTTTTCCTTTGTACTTGAAATTTTACCCCCTGAAATTATTATAAGTGCCAGATCCTACTTGGGACACAAATGCATAAAGACCATGTGGAGCTTGAAGTGAGAGTGACTGAAACTGTGGAAGTGGAGGTAGTTGATGCACCGGAGCCATGTTAGGCATTTGAGCTAGTTGGGGCATTTGAGGAACATAACAGAATGATGAGCCAGTATCATAGTTACCCGCACTAGATTTGGTACCAGATGACCCTCCAAACTCATGTATGGAACCAGACCTATTAGCATACATTGCAGCCATTAGAGGTTGTTTGAGACTTTTTTCAATTGTTGCTTCTTCTGCCTTCAACTGAGACCTAAGCTCCTGCAGGGACACAAGATTTTCTCTTCCTCGAATAACAGCCTTAATAGTGTTGTATTCAGTTGGTAAGCCTCTGAGAGCAACTATGACAATATCTTCATCGGGAATAGCAACACCCACTGCAGCTAACTGGTCTCTACAATCTTTGATGCGTTGAAGATAAAGATCAATAGATTCAGCCCATTTCTTAATATTCTGCAGATCAATTTTCATTTGGACAATACTTGTTCTAGTCATACTCGAAAGCCTCTCTTTCAAGTTAATCCACATTTCCTTGGAGCTTTGACACACAATGACACTCGATAGGGCAGCAGGAGACAAAGTAGCAATGATAAGAGTCATCAAGGCTTTATCATGAATCTTCCAAACTTTATAGGCATCAGTTATGACAACACGATTAATCACAAGGCCATCTTCAGTAGTCATATATTTCTCAGGACAGGGGATAGAGCCATCAAGAAATCCCATAATACCATTACCTTCTAACAGTAAATCGAGTTGAAAATTCCATGTGATATAGTTAGAATCATCTAACTTGACTGTGACTGTATTGCCAACACTTGGTATTAGGGAAGAAATAGGAGATTGTGTAAGAGCTAATTGGGCTGTGATCACCATGTTTAATCAAGAAACAACAATCTTTACAGCAATATAGAAGTAATCAAGGACTGCTTAATCACCACACAACAATCCGTGCGTCAATCAGAAGTAATCAAGAACCAACGATTAACAGAAATCTCCAACTCAATTCAATTCTGAAGAGCAACAAGAAATTCAACAAAATCACCACACGAATCTGAACAAGACGATAAGGAATTCGACCAATACCTCCAGCCAAGACGACGATCAACAACGACAACAACTTCACGAAGAGCAACCAACTTCGACCAACTTAGGCAAGAAAACTCCAAAATTCTAGGGTTGCAGAAACCAAGATTCACCAGAGACCACGAAACCACCGGAGCAAAAACGAAGAGACGCGGAAGCACCAGGATCGTCAGGCGACGGCGTTAACCATTGCTGGCGATGATACCATGTTAACAAACCAACTGTATGGAAGAAACTTAGAGAAGAAGATATCGAACACAGAGAAATAGAGAGAGAAAGTAGAGAGGGAAAAATAATCTTGTATATTTTCTTATGTTTATGACAACACTCATCTCTTATAAATACAACACACCTTATGACTAACGTTCACAACCCTAATACAATTATGACACATGGCATAGCTATATCCTAACAGTAATGGGGCTACACATCAGGTGGCATCTTATGTCACGAGTGTGGGGGTTATCATATGTGGGATTGCTTTGAACCAAAGTGGTTGTTTAATTCTTTGGCTTCTGATGTAAACATTTCAATTCGTATCTAATAATATTTGCTCTTTGACAAAAAAAAAATTATATATATATAAAAGAAACTAGATCGAGTTGCAAAGGTAGAGTACTACAAACAAGTAGCACTCTTTAATATTTATCTAACCCTTTGGGGATGCTAAAGAACCACCCACGCCCGCATTTGTTAAATTCCACATATTTCTAGCATGATAGGAGGCTCATTTAACAAGCTATGTATAGCTTTGAGTTATAGCCAACCCGATAAAAAATTTTGACTCCGTCTCTACAAGCGAGGGTTCAGTTGTATATGTATATCATGTCTTTCAGAAGGGCCAAGGGAATATTTTCTGTCCACTTACAGTTCCACACCCGATGATAGTACGTATCAGCTGAGATCATGTTCGTGATGTGGGGAATTAATATATACCCCAAATCGTATCTTGGGTTTTGTCAACCCTACCAAATTGGTGCAACTGCTTGCAGAAATAATCCACATTCATCGAGATAGCTTTTGTGAAAGCAATCTCTTTAGGAACCTCATGCATGCCGATCAAACCGGCCAATTATTTATCACACGTTTTGTTGTAAAGAATAAGAAAAGTTGGCTGAAATGAGGATTTTAGTATTTTAATTGTTGTTGATCAAAATCAAATAACGGCAAGTGGCGCTCTACTATTTAAATGTTAGCAATTGAAGTTCGTATTTATTCAGCCAATTTCCCATAGAAATAAACCATTTAAATGTTTGATAGGCTAGCAAAGTTGGATATGAAATGAAATAAGAGATATTTATTGATTTGGAATTTCTTCTTTTTTCCCCTTCCATTCTTTCTTGGATTTTCATGCTGCGAAGGGCCAAAGGGGCAAGATTAATTAATGAGTTGATGACCTTTAATCAGAATCTTACGTATCCAAATATTTTCTTTTCTTGACTTTAAATATAAGCTTTTCGGTTCTCTTCATTGGTCGAATAGGACGCGAATCTCGTTATCTTACTCATTAGATAAACCCAACTTCTTTATCCACTTAACTAGATATTCTTAAAAAAACCCAATCTTATGATTTTCATTGGGAAATTTTATTTAGACCCATTTATCCTCTTTCTACACCCAACTTATTATTTTTTATTTTTAAATTCCAAATGTGCCCAATAATTCTCTTTCTACACCCAACAAGAACAAAAAAATAATAATAATTTAACAATAGGCAACTCCAGCCATCTTATCTCTTCAAACCTCAACCACCTAGTTTCTAACCTCTCCAACTCCCCACTGCCACCTCCCTTACCACCCACAACAATTTGGAAATTAGAACAGTATTCCCAACAACCCCCAATTAAAAAAACCCAAAAGAAACATGTCAATATTTTTTTTCTTTTTTTTTTGGAAAAATTAATGGTATTATTAACGTATGGTCCAACACAATTAGATTTGACACGTCAACAATTTCGGCATAATTCAGACATGTTAGAAGGACTGCATGGAAGAGAGAGCTATTGTGTGGCCGGCGAAATGTCAGGAAATGGACATTGATGACTAAGATCTTTGGGGGTTTCATTGTGGGTGATAAGAAGATGGCGGTGGGGGGGTTGGGGAGGGGTAGAAATTGGCGGTGGTTAGGGTTTGGAGTGATGGCATGGCCCGGGACTTCTAGTGTTGGAATTTTATATTTTATATTTTTGTTCTTTTTCACTATGGGTGTAGAAAGAAAATTGTTGGGCAGATTCGGAATTTCAAGATTAAAAACTATAAGTTAGGTATAAAAAGAGAATAAATAGGTCTGAATAAAATTTCCCTTTTCATTTCACTTAATTATTAATTTTTGATACATGAATATTCTACACTAAATTCATCAAAATTATAAAGAGAGATTCCAACTTGAATAGAAAAGAAAGAGCAGAATGTTTTAATCAATTGGCTAAGCTTAGGTCTGCTCACTTAATTATTAATTTAATTAGTGATAGGTATATGCAAAAGATGTTAATTAATGTCTGTCTATATATATCATTTTGGGTAAAGTACAAAAAACTACCTTAACTATTGGTGTCACGACACTTTCATACCTCATCTTTTAAAATTGACAATGTCATACCTCATCTTATGAATTTGTGCCAATGTTATACCTTCCGTTAGTTTGGCGTGAATTTCTCAATTAAATACTGACGTGACTTGATCCGGGACCCATTTTCTATTAAAAAATTATTAAAAACTAAAAAAAAATCATTTAATATTTTTTAAATATTAAAATAATAAATAAATAAAAAAGAAAAAAAAAAGACCAACAATCAATTCGTCCCCTTCCCCCTTCTCTCTCTTCTTCCCCTTCCTGCAAGTTCAACCCAGAAAAAAAGAAGAGAAAAAAAAAAAAACCAATTTGTCTTCCCCGCTCCCCACCCCCTCTTCTCCCCGCACTCACTCTGTGCACCCAACCTCCCCACCTTCCCACCCACCCTCTGCACCCAACCTCGCACCCACTACATGCAACAACAAAAAAAGAAAAAGAAAAAAAAAAGCCCAGAAAAAAATCCAGATCTCGTTGAGGTGGAATCGAGAAACCTTCGCCAAGCCAATTTCGAAGGTTTAGAACTTGGGCGCGGAGAAAATGGGGGGAATGGATGTGGAGAGAGGAGGGTGGGTACCGGGGGGGCAGGATGGACGAACTGGGTGTCCTTTTTTTTTTTTTTTTTTTTTCCTTCTCTCTTCTTCTTCTTCTTCTTCTTTTGCAGATTGGGTGGGTTGGGGGGGTGACACACCCCGATCTTGGAATCAAGGCGTGCTGGCCGTCACGTGGGCGTGACGTAACCAAAAGTGCGATGCGGAAGCAATAGGTAAAAGAAATACGAAGGAATAAAAACCAACTACTAGCAATAATATCCAACTAACATGCTAGAGTGAGTTTAAGTATGAAACACACATAATCAGAGCATAAGTACTAGGTGCAATCAAGTAAGACCATTACTAAATTACAACACCCGAATGTGAGTCCTACATTTAAGTAGTATGTCAGAACGCCGTGGGGATCCTCGTGAGTCACCAACACTGCTAATTAGAACCTGGAGGGGCGCAAAACAAGATTGAGTGGGTCAGTAAAACAAAGCTTTTCGAAAATATTTCGTTTAATAATACATCTAACCCCTCGCTGTAAAACATGTATACTTTCCCAGAAAATAGTATATGTATAGCCATATATAACAGCAAATAACTCAAATCACAAGTCTTTAACACTTTTCATGAAATATGCCATGCTATGCTTCAAAACATAATAAGGATGCATCAATATAACAGATGAAATACGAAATCAATCGGAGACCCTGCAGCTGTCATGTACGGTTAATTCTATAGCTCAATATCCAACCCAACCGGAGTCACCACTGTGACCTGTATGGCACTACTCTGCACATAAATCGGAACTACCTGAAGTAGTCTATACGACAAGAATGGTGTAAGAATACGCTCTAGTGCTTCTCTCATCAACAGCTGTATAATAATCTAAAGTCACCTACAAGTCGAAACCACCTTTAATGGTCTGTATGACATGCACCTACTTGGATCCAAGGTGAGCATGTGGTGCATGGTGAATAATATAAGCACTAACACCAGGGGTGCAGGTTATGAGCTCTCAACACAATTTACATCATCAATAAATCACATGAACAACATAAAACTCACCTGATACTCACATGTGCGTCCACAGCACCATTTCACATATATGCATCAAGTACTAATTCATATATTTCATATATTATGCATGCATGGCATTTTAAAACACACTTTCATTTAAATTCAATTTCTGGGAAAAATCAGTAGTATATAAGTATAAACAGAAAATAACTGCCCACTCACTGGTATGTTGAAGGGTCGTAACCCCCGTGACGCCATTGAATGCACTCGTCCTCGGGATGGTATCACCTATATGCGAAACAACTATAAAAACGTTATTTAAAAGCACATAACCAACAACACGTAATAATTTCTCATACGTTGCTCAATTTGGGTATATGAATATACCACAGTGACATACTCGACGTCACGGACGTCGAGATATTTTTAGAATAATTTTTCACCGTCACACGTGCCCCCACGCCCCAGGAGAGGCACGGTGCTACGCGCCCCCACGCGCGTCATCCCCTACCTCCAGACGCCGAAAAATCTCGCCGGTGCCGCAAAACTGGGTAAACCTGCAACTCCCATTTTCTCGCTCGATTTCGCACCATTTTCCACGAAATTTTCACCAAATGTCACAAATCACGAGAGGAAGAAGGCTATACCTTTTAAAACTTCCAAATCCTTCGAAAACTCGTCGGGATAATTTCACCAAAACTGGCCACCTTCGAACTAGGGCTTCCCGAAGTCCAAAACTTCCAAACAAACGTCCCCGAGCTTCGTGGGAACCTCCTTAAGATCCATGTGAGCTTGAATTGTCCTAAAAACCAACCATTACAAAGTTCGTGAATAGTGCTCAATTCGGACCTTGAGTTTTCAACGTGAAATTGAAAGGTTTCTTACCTGAAATGGGTATGGATGTGTTCGTAGGGTCCTCACGAACACAATGATGCCCTCGAAACCTTCGATCCGTGCCTGGATGTTTGCGGGTGAGTGTGTCCGTACAATTCGAAAGGAGAGAGATAGAAACTGAGAGGGAAGAGAGATACGGGATAGGAGAGAGAGTGAGGTTGGCTTTGTGTGTGTGTCCTCCTAAGTCCCTAGCCACACAATTGCAAACAATTTTAATCCACTTAATTTATTTTCCAAGAACTTAGGAGAGTATGCAATATTCAAATAAACATGTCACACACCTTAGCAACCTTTAAGGGTAATTCCATCATTTCACATCCACGATAAATGAAATTTCGGGACGAGCTATGACAGGGGGGGGACGAACCCTTTTTTTTTTTCCTTCTCTCACTTCTTCTTCTGCAGGTTGGGTGGGGGATGGGGGGACGGACGAACTCGGTTTCCATTTTTTTTTCTTTTCTTCTTCTTCTTCTTCTTCCTCCTCCTTTTTTTTGGGTTGCAGGGGATTGGGTTTGTGGTAGGGGGAGGGGGGACGAACTGGGTTTGGTTTCAGTTTTTTTTTTTTTTTCTTCTTCTTCTTCCTCCTTCTTCTTCTTTCTGGGTTTGTTGGGGGAGGGGGGACGAAATGGGTTGGGTTTTTTTTGTTTTTTTGGTTTTTCCTTCTTCCTCCTCCTTCTTCTTCTTTCTAGGTTGCAGGAAGATGGGGAAGAGAGAGAGGGGGGAGGGACGACTTTCTATTAAAAATGGGAAGAGAGAGAGAGATAAGAGAGTTTTAAAAAAAAAATTTAATTTTTAATTATTAAAAATATATTTAATTATTAGTTATTGGATCCTCCATGTAGCCACATCAGCACTTAACAGAAAAATTAACAGAAAAACTGACAGAGGTATGACATTGGCACAAATTCTAAAGATGAGGTATGACATTGTCCATTTTAAAAGATGAGATATGAAAGTGTTGTGACACCAATAATTGAAGTAGTTTTTTGTACTTTACCCTATCATTTTTTTTTTGTACGATAAGGGTAACTCAGAGATTTTATGCTGCTGTAACAATTTGCATGCAATATATATGTTATGCAACTTGTTTATTCCATGTCCTTCATCGCTAATTCGAAATAACAAGTTTTACCTCTACTTTTTCAGAATGCTGGTCTGACACATGCATGAACAAATCCGTCTAGAAGGAGTAATTCAACTCTTTATAAACATAGGGGTGTGCTATCCACACACATCTTTTTACTTCTCACACACCCATTGTTAATTTATGTCCGTTGATCTTCTTCATTTCATCTGATTCTACGGTCGAAAATTAGAAGGGTGTGTGAGAAGTAAAAAGGAATGTGTGGATATCACACCCCTAAACATATATAATGTTACTTAATTTTTCGATGTGAAATTCACATTCTTAAGATTCAATCATGTCCTACACAAAACCAGTAACCCAGCTAGGGCTACCATCAAGTAACATGCATGCATAAAGGGTAATTTGGGAATCAGATTACAGTATCCTACTATCCCTAGCTAGCTAACTTTAATCTTTTATTCTGTGAATAAAACTAAAATATCGCAAATCCTACCACACTGAATAATTAAACAGTATAAATAGACCTATAATGCACCTCAAGTTCCTCACCAAGAAAAAACTTCCAAGTACAATTTTAACACACATTCACAGATCAAGTAATATCTAGCGATGGACACGGTGGCGAGATTGGTGGATGAGAAGCCATTGGTGATCTTCAGCAAGAGTTCTTGTTGCATGAGTCACTCTACAAAGTCATTCCTACGTGGGTTCGGAGCAAACCCTACAATTTACGAGCTGGATCAAATGCCTAACGGGCAGCAGATCGAAAGGGCACTGCTGCAGCTTGGTTGTCGACCAAGTGTACCTGCTGTGTTCATAGGGCAGCAGTTCGTGGGCGGTAATAATACGGTCATGGGTCTCCATGTACAGAATCGGCTAGTCCCTCTGCTCATGAGAGCTAAAGCTATTTGGATTTGGAACGACCAGTAGTATATATGGACTTAATTAGAGTATTAAGAGATATCTACTGAACCCTTAACCCTAAACCACCGGCTTTATGAAGGTGCCGGTTCGATCTTTTTGTACTTTGATCTAGGTATATGAGTACTAAATGAGAACTTCTGTCACGTTTTTTATGAATACTGGATTTCATATACTTCTAGCTCTCTGCCTCCTTAATTTCGTCATTTTTGTCGAAATTTTAATTATGTATTGTATTTGAATACGAAATGTAGTGAGTTTGAAGAGGAACACTCTGTCTATCAAGGCAATCCACTGCAATATGACATTAAGCAACCCACCCACTTTTTATCTCAACCTTAAGTTCGAGAAATACATTAATTGAGAATCCTTTAGATTTTGTTTTATGAACTATATATAGATCATTGACACCTTCTTATGAAATATAAACTCTAGATAATTAAGGTGAAAAATCTGGATACTCTTGTTAATGATGATTCGGATTACAACTCTTCTTACGTTTGTACCTTTACCAGTAGCGAGCCACCGGCTATTTGGTCCCAAGACAAATCTGCACATATATGCATGGCAGTGAGAGAGTTTTGTGGTCCAACTTGCTAGCATGGTAACGTACGTATACGTTTGAGAATTAGATTCTGTGAGGTTTGAGCTCGGAAGATTTAAGCTACTTGTACAATGTGATAAAATTTGTATATTAGCTATATTGCGGTAGTATTTTAGATATTGTCACTCACGTACTATCATGTGAGAAAACCGTATGCCATGTGTATTTTATTTGAAATTCCCCTATAATGACTCTCTTATGAAATGCCGTCATAATAACATTCTTATTATGTAGAAGAGCTGGAGAAGGATTGTATGGAATGACCGAACAAATACACCATTATTGTAGCGTTTCAAATCGATAATGTGATGCTATATATGTATATATAAATTTTTCATTACATAACATTATATTATTGCTCAAAACGCCACGATATCAGTGTACCCACTCCATACAAGTCTCTTCCGTGGAGTGATGATCCAATGATGATCATACTATGAATAAAAACGTGTTGCATGATAGGTCCCAGCGATGCTCACATCCCGTGAAAATGACAAGAAAACATGTGGAATAGGGAATAGGGAACCACGTGATGACAAGGAAAAGAAGAAAGAACAACTTATTAGAGCTTTACACGTAAAAAGATGCCATATCGGGAATTTTCTGACGTTGCTAAACTTCATTTTGTCTTGGGTTTTAGCTGTGCTGCAAATAACGTTGATTTTCTCTCTGGTGGAATATTTAATTTTGAACCTAAACAAAATAGATGTATATGATATATAGGCTGTAAACTCGATCATAATGTTTGTGATGCCACGAACCGTCCTTGCAATCTTTACATACATTCTTGTTTGATATATACAGTCACCAATTATCCAGAAGAAAAAAAAAGAAAAATTCAAACTTCTCGTCCTACCACAATATAGTTATTCTTGTGCATGCAGACTATTGAAATAAAAAAAAACCACGTATCATGAATTAAAAATGGAGCTACGAGCTTATATAGTTATTTTCCTGTCGCAAATTTCTGAATCCAATAGTTGTCCACTATAAATCAGCATTAGTACTGTCTTTAATTTAATTACATGTGCAATTCAATAGGTGTGATGTTTTATACAAAAGTCGACATCAATGCAATTAGTAATGAAATGATTCAATATAAGAGAAAGGATAATGCTAGCTAGTTAGCCTAATTTTAAAACCAAACTCCAAACAATGATGTGTCACCAGTTGAATATAAGCACGTTAATCAACACTTAAGTAATAATCCAATTATCAACCACATCATTTGGCTTACAAAATTTAGTTTAAAAATTTAGCATTACCATAAGAGAAATTTAGCTTCACTAGATTTATGATGTGAGGCATACTCTTCAACATCTTGAAATGCGAAAGCTTTTTGAAAAATCAAAAGAATATTATGAGATTTAAAGTAAGAATATATATGATTGTAAATTAATAAGCTCAGGTATCAGATTCATATATTATCAATCGTAACTGCAAAGTGCAGATAAATCTACAATAACAATGTCTTATTCCATTAAATGAGGTCGGTTGTTTGAATCATATAACGCTATTGCGCTCAGTTTTACGTCAAGTATTTCATTAACTCAAAATACTCTATAGCAAATGACTTGAAACCCTAATATCAGTTGCATGCATTATGCTCTTGAAACCCCCATATCAGAATAAAGATCAGACAAAATCAATTATGTTGATCATAATTCAATTGAACTTTAATTAATTCATCCGGAAAGCTATATACCTTCGAATGAGACGATATATACTAATTAATAAGTGGCATTTGCAATAAGAACGATCGTACGTCCAAGTTCTTTATTCAAATCTTGATTTAGTTTCTTTTGATTGGACTATTCTACAAAAGGTGCGTACAAAATTCTTAAAGGTTGTATTATCTCCTTAAGTTATCATTCTTCGTCGACTAGGTAATGACTCGAGTTTGATTATAGGGGTTAAAGATCCTTGTTTGACATCAATGCTCACTAGCCAATATAAAATAAAAAAATTGCTACGGAGTAAGATTGGCTGTTATTAGGACTTCAGTAAAAGAGTATCATAGCATTGTCACACTTTTTTAACTTTTAGGCACCCTTTTTTCTTTTTTACTTTTTATCACCTTTAGCAATAGTTACGCTCACGCTTGGTCATTTGATTGTCAAATTTTGTGGGCACATATTGCAAAATGAGCTATGAGGTGATTTTCGAAATAAGCTATGAGGTTACAATGTTCTCACATTGCACTATGTTGTATCAATTTACACATTTTGTCTCTTTGAATATATAAGCATCCATTGAATTGATGATTTTTTTTTTGTCAAAGTGGTGTAAATGTAGCTTACATGTTGCCTATATATAAGAGTCGCAAGCTCACCATGTCATCAATTTAATAAATTATCATACAATCAATTAGAGATTGAAGATACAAATTGAAGAAGTTGAAGTACCACCATAAAACCAATTGGCAATATGGAGAGTAGTCCAACTTTTTATTAGTTGAAAGTTGTTACATATTCAACCACATGAATACAATAAAAATTTAAGTTTATGATGATTTCTATATCCAAATGTGACTAGCCAAATTATAGTGTTTAGCTATGTAAAAAGTGCATGAGTCCGTTGTAAAATATGTTTGAAAACATATAGGTTCTCAAGAAAATAGCAAGCTTGTAGTCATAACATTGGATGCCTAAATCGCAGGAATATTTTTGCTCATATTTAATGGTGATGCTTATCACTCTATTTAGCACTGTTAGATGAGTTTAAATTTTGAGATTTGTGAAGTAGATAGACACACATCTCAAAATTTAAACTTATCTACCGATAATAAATAGAGTGATGAGCATTACCACAGCTTGAGGAAGCGAGCAAATTGCAACCTAAATAGCTCATATTTAGAGATTTGAATCCCATTCGGATTCAAATTGTGGGAATCCTAGGAATCCTCACATTATAGCCGTTTATCGTATATCATGTGATTAAAAATCATTTTGAATTTTATTATTTAAAATTGAACATAAATGGTACCTAACGAAAACTTATCGCACGATATACGATAAACAATCACAATATAAGAATCCTCACAAAGATGATCCAAAAAAGATCTTCATCCTACGTTTAGCATCTCTTAAATTGATTATAAAAAAAATTAAAAAATAAAAACACACATGTTAGTTTACTACTTTTCGATAAAGTGGGGTCTAGGTCCTTGAGGTATCTTCTCCTACTTGTACGGTAATCACGTGGATTAATTAAAAGAAGAAAGATTAACCTTATATCAAGAATATTTTGTCAACGAAAAAAATAAAGAGCATATCTTGTCCCTCACAAAATCTCTTTAACAATCGCTTTCGGTTTGCTTCGACTGAAATGGATGGGAATCTTTTGCCCCTTCGGATAAACCCATCTTCTTTCTCCACCTCAGTAGAATATAGAGCAGATGCTCCAAAATGGATAGAGCAGAAAGATGGTGTTCTTTATTTCGATAGGATAATATTTGCATTTTCTTTATTGGGGGATAAGCTCATTCCCACTTACGAATATTGTATGCTAGCTGTAATTAATTTATAATTAGAGCCGTTCAAAATTTTAATTTTGTTTTGAAGATCATCTCGATAAAAATTATTTCAATCAGAGATCATTCAGTCATTCAAATGTATTGACGGTGTAGGTACTAAGTAACGTATTTATAATGAACCGTTCAATTTTTTTAACATGTTTGGATGATTAATCGATCTCCAATTCAAATGATTTTTTGTAAAAGTGATCTTCAAATGAAGATTAACAAATTAAACAATTCCAATCCTTAATTTTATTCGATCAAAATATATTATTCGTAAATAAAGAGATATGTGCAGCCCTACATGGAGGGTGCAAGTATTATCCATTTTGATATATGTCCAAAAGTTTTATTACCATAAATTCCAATTTTTCCACCTGCTGGTGAATGTGAACATGCTAATGCCCTTTGGGTCTCAATGACATCCTCCATTGAAAACCCTAGCTTTATTCAATAGTATTAGAGCCCCTTGGGAATTCTTATTCAAAAATCGCTTCAGCAGTTCTGCTCATAAGTTCCTATTAGAAGTGTTTTTATAATAAATCTATTTGAAAAATCTATTAGAAATCTAAGTACTTCCTAGAAAAATACTTAGAAGTGCTTTCTTAAAAAACACTTGACTAAGCCCTGGTTTGATATTGAGGTGATTCTAAAAAAAATGGCTATTAAAACAAGCTGGGAGTTTTTTTATGTTTGGTAAACATTCAGCTTCAGTTTTTTTTCACATTTGTTGGTTAAAAAAAAAAGCCAAAAACACAAAACTGCAAAACCCAGCTTTGAAAAACCAACTTTTTTCACATATGTTTTACATAAAAGTTTATCAACCACTATAATACTGCTTTTTTTTTTTCAAAAGCATTTTTACAAAAAAGTTTACCAAACACTCTGCTGCTTTATTTCACAGCTGCTTATTCTCACATCACAGCAGAAGTAGTTTTTTTTTTCAAAGCACAGCAATACCAAACCAGCCCTAAGAGTCTATAGAAAACGCTTATATGACAAAGAAGCATATTAAACCTTTCCAGATTGCTGCTAAAGAAAATTTAACTGTTTTCTACAATAACACTTGAAGTGCTTCATTCTTTTTCTGGAAACACTTCCAAGAGTACTTTTATGACAAGTTGGCAAACGTGGCTACAACAAATTGTTCCAATCGAGTCTTAGTGTCCTTGTGACAAAAGTACCACCCACTCTTCTTTCGAAATGAACAAATGCAATGATCGTGTCCCAAGTCTAAGTTTGTTCTTTACCACTTTCAATTTTCTTGGCAAAATGCTGCCAAAATTGTTTTTGGCTATCTGAAAATATTTTTAGCCATTTGAAACACTTTCAAATTGTCGTACGTATTTCCGTACAGCAGAGGTTTTATAAAAGCTAAAAAAAGCTGTTATTACACAAGGACATTTCCAAAGGACTACAGTAGCTTGAAGAGAGCCGAAACGGGTCTTTATCAACTAATGATTCTATCTGCTCCATCTGTAAAGCATGCAATGCACTATAAATAGACCAATCGAGTGTTCTAAGTTCCTCACAGGAAGCTAGCAAGCTCGACTAACTCACTTCACAATCTTCACACCCCTCACATTTCCATACCCTTTTAATCGTTTGTTTCCAGGCTCTGACTCGCAATGGACACGATAACAAGCATGGTGGCCCAAAAGCCGGTGGTGATCTTCAGCAAGAGCTCTTGTTGCATGAGCCACACCATCAAGTCACTCATATCGAGCTACGGGGCAAACCCAACAGTGTATGAGCTAGATGAAATGCCAAATGGGCAGGCTATTGAAAGTGCACTAGTTCAGCAGCTCAAGTGCCAACCAAGTGTGCCGGCCGTTTTCATAGGGCAACAGTTTGTAGGCGGAGCTGATCGGGTCATGAGCCTCCAAGTCAGAAACCAGCTTGTCCCAATGCTCATAAGGTCCAATGCTATTTGGGTTTGGACTAGAACCTGAATGACATCCTCATATATCTATAACATAAGTTATACTCTAAAATCCAGACCTACACTACTTACCAAAGCTCAAATAACAGTTTTTCTATTCCCTCGTAGCATTTATCCCTTCGGTTGGTATCATGAACGGGAGTCGGTATGAAGTCAATGTATACTCTATCGAGCTAAGCTTTTTTCACCTTCTTTATCTTGTACTAGCACTACCCTTGACTTCTGCTTTGTCTGGGCAAGGCTGAAGTTAGTTCCTCTTGTTGAAGAGAATGAGCTTGTATGTTTTTAGTTCCTGTAATCTCCCTTTACTGTATGCATGTTTAACAAAAGCAGAGAGTACTATGCTTAACCGCAATAGTTCTACAACTGCTCAGCATACATCCTCGACCAAGATTTACGCGAGTCACAAAAATATGAAAACTTATAATGCTGAACTTACCTCATGCTCAAAGGAAATCCATCGAAAATAGGACCTTAAGTGTCATGGTTGTTGAGAGTTGTCCCACATCGGTAAGGGACAAGGTTTGCTATGTGCTTATATGATCTTGAGTTACTTCCCATATTGCCAATTGGTTTTATGATAGAACCCCAATTTCATCATGGTATCAAAGCGGGTTGTCTTTGTGTGAAGCCAAACGGCCACACGCGCTCCACATCACCTAGTTGTTGTCCATGTGTAGGCTTGAAAATACGCCACATGTGCGGGGGCGTGTTGAGAGTTGTCCCACATTGGTGAGGGACAAGGTTTGCTAAGTGCTTATATGGTCTTGGGCTACTTCTCATAATGCCAATTGGTTTTATAGTGGAATCTCAATTTCATCAATGGTTAGGATGCCACGAATCGATCTTGCATTTTGCTTTACTCTATTCTGAAAAATATATTCACTAAAGGTCATTCCCCCATAAGCTGTAGCACATCTCAAAACTTCCTTCTTAGTCACAGTTATGGATAAAAATTCATTTCTGTAAAATAACATGCAAATGTTAGGAATAAATACGATAAGATTTAGACAGATCATGAGCATTCGGAGGGGAACAAACAAATTCAGTTCTCAGAGATCATAACTACAACCGGCATATACATATGCAGATTTTTATTACCTTATCCATGTCAACATTACAGAGTGTGCCCATAATTTAACATCTGTGAAAGATGGGATGTATGGATACTTCACTAAGTTACTAACCGAGTAATTATTTAAACTAAACAAAATAACGCATTTCCTTCTTCATCAAAAAACATAACAAACGAAACTAGGAAAGAAATACATGCACTGCACATTGGTGACAGATTCTAACTTCTCACAAAGAGCGAGAGGGTGAAGAAACCTTCCTTCAATTTTGGTGAAAAGCTCTGCTGAGGAAGAGAGAAGTTTATGTATTAAAATTAGTTTGATTGTTCGATATCGATTACCCATGAAAAATGGCTTGAGCAGATGCAGATCCTTCACTTCTGAATATAGTCATTTAAGAACGGATTTGTCTGCTCTAGGATTGCATTCCGTCACCAGTTTTCCACTGCCCTCTGAACCGTAGTATTTGCCTTGCTTGTCTCTTCAGCAGAGAACTTGTGTTCTATGATTCCTAAAGGTCTCGCTCCAGCTTCCTAAGCAACAATAAACATGAAATAATCCCAATTAAATGCAAACGAAAAATAAGATGACATAGTAAGAAAAAAAACTCGCAAAATATAGAAAGAAAGACGTCAAGCACACAACTGACATTCAGCAGAAACATCACTCCCTTCTCTCAGATACATAACTTTTAAGGCCATCACACGGCTAAGGACACAGTTTTCGTTTAATTCATGACCCCAACAGATGAAAAACCACACAATTATAAAAAGGAAAGTTTAACGAAAAGCTCTCGATATTGTTCAGTTTAACGAAAAGCCATATTTAATCAAACTTTGTACTATTCACTTTACCCTAAATTTTGTCATTATCGTTAAAACTTAAAGTTTTCTTGCCCTTTTCATTAGTTTTCCTTAATACAATCATGAAGGTTTTAACGAAACACTTCGAATTCCCCTGTCATTACAAAGGGAGATTAAACGGGGAAAGCAGTTCCTTCACCACAGCAGCAAGAAATTTCAACTTGGGAATACGGCACGATCAGTGTCAGGCCAGCGGGTTAATCTTAGATTAATCAGTTCACCCACTCTACGAAACATGACAGCAATGCAAATACCGGAAAGCTGCAAATTTCTTTCTTTTAGCATCCATATAAACATCCCAGCTTGAAACTCTTACTGAGAATTTTACAGCTGAAAGTAAATTAATTTTACCAAACAAAATCCCATATGCCCTAGATCAATCTAATAAATCTGGGATATACAGAAACCGAAACCAAACAGACAAATTTAAATTCAAAGCCTTAAACTTTAAAGGAAAGTTAGGGTTAATTAAACAAAAATTTAACTGCAGAACAACCAAGCAGGTTTAGAATCGAATCATCAGCAATTTTTTTGGAATCGTTCGAAAACCCTAAAATTGAAACGAAGGAACCTGAATAAACAGGTGTTGCAGGTTCCAGGGATGCTCACATCATGCGAAAATGACAAGAAATCATGGAATAGGGATTAGGGAACCATGTGATTGTTGAATTGTAATCTTGTCCTGGTCCAAGATAATTGATCCGGCTCATGCACAAAGAAAGATTCATGCACATGCTAGAGAGTTCTAGCAAAGTTCAAGTTTGTGGAATGCATGCATAAATATCTAAGACTTTTTGTAGAAAAATCTAGAATATTATAAAATTGTGTTGTTGTTAAGTATTAGCTAGAAAGTTCTAGCAATGCCAAAATTGGCAAACCTTGCCTATAAATAGGTGAGGTGCTAAGCTATGTGATGTAACAACCAAGAGAGCAAGTAGTAAGAAGTGAGAGTGCCAAGTGAGAAGTGAGAAGAAGCAACAAAGCTTCTAATAGTGTTTGAGTGTTTCATCTTGTACTAGTTTGTGAGTGAATAAAAATTTTGTGTAATACATTGAGTGTTCTTTCTTTTTCTTGCCTATCAATTCCGCTGCGTTACATTCTTCTTTGTGAGATAAACAACTCAAAAGTAATGAAGTCTTTTTAAGCCCCAACAAAGTGGTATCAGAGCCAACGCTATGGAAGCCTTCCAAGTTCCAATACTCGACAACAACAACTTCGATAATTGGAGTATCAAAATGAAGGCCCTTTTGGGAGCACATGATGTCTGGGAAGTCATGGAGAAAGGCTACACTGAGCCAGAAGATGAAACTACTATGTCCTAACCCCAGAAGGAGAGTTTGAAATATTCAAGAAAGAGAGACAAGAAGGCTCTCTACCTCATCTACCAAGCATTAGATGACAATGGCTTTGAGAATGTCTCAAGTGCAACCTTTGCCAAGCAAGCAAGGGAGAAGCTTCAAACCTCTTACAAAGAAGCCGAACAAGTTAAAAAGGTTCGTCTTCAAGTATTAAGAGGTAAGTTCGAATCTTTACAAATGAAAGGGTTTGAATCAATCTCCGACTATTTCTCAAGAGTCTTAACCATTTCTAATCAATTAAAAATAAACAGTGAAAAGTTGGAAGATGTTAGAATTATGGAGAAGATATTACGCTCGTTGGACCCCAAATTTGAGCACATTGTCGTGACGATTGAAGAAACTAAAAACTTGGAAGAAATTAGTATAGAGCAATTAATGGGGTCGCTACAAGCATGTGAAGAGAAACATAAGAAGAGGCAAGGGAATGATGAGCAGCTCCTCAAGAATCATGTTCAGCCAAAGAAGAAAAAAGGAAGCTTCGACAACGAGAAAAGCCAATACGAAAGAAGTCGTGGCCGAGGTCGTAGACATGGGCGTAGATATGGACGTAGACGTGGTTGGAACTTCAACGACCGTAGCAACTACGAAAGAGGAGAAAGCTCAACAAAAGGTCATAGAAAAGGATGCTCAAACTTGAGCTATGAAAAATCTCAAGTTCAATGCTACAATTGTCAAAGATTTGGGCATTATGCTTGGGAATGTAGAGCTTCAAGCAACAGACCTGATGAAAAGGTCAATTATGTGAAAGAAGAGAAAGAAGATAATGGCATTGTGCTACTAGCGTGCAAGAACAATGATGGAGACCAAGACTATACATGGTACATTGACATCAGCGCCAGCAACCACATTTGTGTAAGAAAAATCATGTTCGTAGAGCTTAATGAATCGGTGAGTGGCAACGTTTCTTTTGGAGACGAATCCAAAATACCCGTAAAAGGAAAATGTAACATCCTTATTCCCATGAAAAGTGACGGTCACCAATTAATTTCAAATGTCTACTACGTGCCCAATATGAAAAACAACATTTTGAGCTTGGGTCAACTTTTAGAAAAAGGTTACGATATTCATATGAAAAATTATAGCCTTTTTCTTAGAGATGACAAAGGAAGATTAATTGGCAAGGTAAAAATGTCAAAGAATAGGATGTTTCTCGTGAACATTCAAAATGATGTTGCAAAATGTCTCAAGATATGTTACAAAGACATATCCTGGCTTTGGCATCTTCATTTTGGGCATCTTAATTTTAGGGGATTGGAGTTATTGTCCAAGAAAGAGATGGTGAGAGGCTTACCTTGCATCAGTCAATCAAGCTTGTGAAAGATGTTTACTTGGGAAACAGTTCAGGAAAAGCTTTCCAAATGAGTCGACCATAAGAGCCCAGAAGCCACTCGAGCTCATTCACACCGATGTATGCGGTTCAATAAAACCAAGCTCTTTGGGTAAAAATAATTATTTCCTTCTCTTCATTGATGATTTTTCAAGGAAAACCTAGGTGTATTTCTTGAAGCAGAAATCAGAGGTATTTGGAGCATTTAAGAAGTTCAAAGCTGCCGGAGAAAATGAAAGTGGTTGCAAGATCAAAGCCATGAGATCTGATCGAGGAGGAGAATTCACTTCAAAGAAATTTCAAGAATTCTGTTAAGCTAATGGAATTCGTCGACCTTTGATAGTTCCAAGATCCTCTCAACAAAATGGTGTGGCGAAAAGAAAAAATTGAACCATCCTCGACATGGCTCGAAGCATGCTCAAAAGTAAGAGATTGCCTAAGGAGTTGTGGGCAGAAGCTGTAGCATGTGTTGTCTACCTATCCAATCGGTCTCCAACAAGAAGTGTGTGAGACTCCGCAAGAAGCATAGAGTGGAAGAAAACCATGTATCCCTCATCTAAGAGTTTTTGGAAGCATAGCCTATGTACATGTACACCAAACTCAACGACAAATGTAAAAAGTTCATCTTCATCATATATGATTCAAGTTCAAAATGCTATAAGTTGTATAATCCGAACAATGGGAAGACTGTGATCAGTCGAGACGTGATGTTTGATGAAGAATGAGAATGGGATTTTGGCTCTCATGCAAGCGATCTCAGCTTCTTTCCTCAGTTTGAAAAAGAGAATGAACAAGCAAAAGAGGTTCAACAAGAATCCACTACTCCACCTACTTCACCAACATCAACCAATCATGGTAATTCTCCAGCATCAGCATCATCAAGTGGGAGCCTAAATGAAAGAAAAGTACCACGCACAATAAGTATACGAGATCTCTATGAGCTAGCTGAAAGACTTCATAATCCTACGTTTTTCTGTCTCTTTGCTGATTGTGAACCAGTTGACTTCCAAGAAGCAGTGCAAGATACTAAGTGGAGGAAAACAATGGATGAAGAAATTGAAGCAATCCAGAAGAATGATACATGAGAACTCGCTATTCTTCCAAAATGACACAAAGCCATCAGAGTCAAGTGGATGTACAAGACAAAGAAAAATGTCAACGGAAATGTCGAAAGATACAAGGCGAGATTAGTGGCAAACGGCTACAGTCAAAGAGTCGGAATCGACTATGATGAGGTATTTGCACCCGTTGCTCGTTTGGAAACGATACGATTGCTAATTTCTTTAGCAGCTCAAAATAAATGGAAGATTCAACAAATGGATGTGAAGTCCGTTTTCCTAAATGGAGTCCTTGAAGAAGAAATCTACATTCAGTAACCATTAGGCTATGAAATCAAAGGGCATAAAGACAAAGTTCTGAAGCTGAAAAAAGCCTTATATGGGTTAAAACAAGCGCCACGAGCATGGAATAGTCGCATCGACAAGTACTTTCAGGAGAACAACTTCATCAAGTGCCCTCATGAACACGCTCTCTATGTCAAAGTCAAAGGTGAAGATATTTTGATTATGTGCTTATATGTGGATGATCTAATCTTCACCGGAAGTAATCCAAGCATGTTTGAAGAGTTCAAGAGAGTGATGACCAAAGAATTCGAGATGACCGATGTTGATGCACAAAATCAGCGAAGACTTTGGTACAACAGAAAGTGTCAGGTTTTGTGACCTTCGCTTGGTTGCTTCGGTCACTAGTGAGGATAAGTACGTAAATGAATAGAGACAGAGAAGCAAACACAGGATGTACGTGGTTCACCCAGATTGGCTACGTCCACGGAGTAGAGGAGTTCTTATTAGTAGTGAAGGGCTTACACAAGTACAAAGGATCAAGCTCTCAATTTAGTGAGTTCTTGTGAATGATTTAACACAAAATGGCATTAGGCAATATTGTGGGGAAATGACCCCTATTTATAGAAAAACTTGTAGCTTTGTCACATTGACATGTGTCATGTTATGATTGGTTCTTGATGTTGACACGTGCTGCGCTCTGATTGGCTTCTAATCTTGACACGTGTCGAGTAGTGATTGGCCTCCTGGTCGGAGGGGAACTCTTCTGGGTCCTTGACAGTATATAGCGTTGGCCGGTGCTCGGTAGTTTCGGGATTGGTCAAGTATGGTACAAACAGTGCTCCCCTAAGTTCCCGAGTGAGGGAAACTCCTCGGTTGGGGACTTGCAAGATCCAATCCCTTGAGTAATCACGAAACTTCTAAGTACCGAAGTGTGGTCTGATCTTCATCTGCCCTTCTCTGGAAGTACTTTTCCTCCATCCGGGAATGGTGTATTTAGCTGATGTTGACGCACAAGGTAATGTATCAATTTCACTTGAAGCTTAGTTGTAGTTTCAGGCTTAGTCAAGTGTGATACAAACCCTATAGTAGGAGTCCCCCAAGTCGCCGAGCTAGGAGATCTGCCGAAAGAGGTGACAGACAAGGTAAGCAGTCAAACTTCCAAGTAAGCAACCCAGGATCAGAGGTTTGACTTCGGCTTCCGGTTGATTGTTCTCATTCTCCTTGTCTCTCATTCAACTGCCAGGATAAGGAGAAGCAAATGGATAAGAGAGATGATATGAGATACTTTTGCTTTTGAAGAAGTAACTTTCCACAGGCTTATTCTTGAACTGTGCTGGAGGGTTTTCTGGTGCCCTTCAGAGTATAAGGCCGACTCAAAAATTTGAGGGTCAAAACAAGTCCATCAAATCTATAGTACGTTCGACCTTGATGATATGGGATACTTTTGCTGTTGACGGAATAATGAATGTGGTATGGAAAGGTGTCGTGCTGTAGTGATCTGTTTCAGCTCACCGTTGAACCTTCTGCTTCAATCTTTTGCATGGCAGAAGTGGTGTGCAACCTTTGCATTTAAATGGTCCTTCAGAACATTCCTTCATAGTGACTCATCCACGCTTGGCAGCTTCAGTGTAAAGAGCCAATATCTGATCAACTGTCATGAGGTATTTGCCGGTGGAATTCGTGACCTTGACAGCAGTTGAGGATGAGTACTCGAGAGCAATGCTAAGTAAGCAACCAGGCAAAGGCTCCAGGCAGTCAGTTCCAAATTGGAGGTTTGATTTCAGGTTCCGACTGAATGCTCTCTTTCTCCTTGTCCTGCAGGTGTGGACAAGGACAAAGACAAAGATAGGGAGAAAGCATGATATGGGATACTCTTGCTTTCGACCCTGATGATATGAGATACTCTTGTTCTTGGTGTGGCTTATTTGCTGAGGTATTATCGGGGGGAAATAAAGCTGAGTATTTCGAGAGGTTATGTTGAGGGTGCCTTTTCGAATGCGAGAAAGGGTTGAGCATTTTTGCAGGTTTGCCTGTCCGTTGAGGAGGGAGGTCAATATATATAGGGATTTCCCAATAACAAGTAGTAATGCTATTCCTTTACCCTTCTTGGTCACAGCAATGTAGTGGGAGCTGCCAGCTTCACGTGTTTTAATTTTGTCAGAGCACTTTGAAAAAGTGGTATGTGGTATCTGGAAAGCTGATGTTACGTGTGAAGATTACAGACAAGCTTTATCTAAGGAAATCTGGCTCTCGAAGTTCTGAGAGTTGTGCCTCTTCGGTTTTCGAACAAGCAATCCCGTCGAGGATCTGACTCTCGAGATTCGGAAAGCGGTGCTACTCCGGTTTTTTAGAAAGTAATTATGTTGGGAGTCTTTTCTCGAATGTGAGTAAAGGTTGGACGTTCTTGCCAACCTGTCTTGCCGCAAAACCCGGAGGTCGACACACATAGGGACTTTCCAGTTGTCAAGCAGTGGTGCTGTTCCTTTACCCTTATGGGTAATAGTAGGGTAGCTGGAACTTCGAAATTCTCGTGCCTAAACTTTGTCAGAGATCTTTGACAAAGTTATATGTGGTACCCGAGGAGTTGATGGTGCATATGGAGAGCGGTGATTGAACAGTAAGATTCACGTGCTTTCTACTTCACCAGAAATCTTCGACAGATTGCCCGTAATTTCCGCAAAGCTGAGTGTGCATGTGACAGGTGCTGACGAGGCTGAAAAAGCAGGTGTTTCTTCGATTTCTGAGATCGGCCCTCGTGGTCTCTGAGCAGCCCAGCTTTTGAGAAAGCAAACGCCTCTTCGATTTCTGAGATCGGCCCTCGTGGTCTCTGAGCAGCCCAGCTTTTGAGAAAGCAAACGCCTCTTCGATTTCTGAAGCTCCGTCGAGTGCAGATTTTTATAGAGGCTGGCATTAAGTTCCACAGCACACTTGAATCTCTACCAGTAGAAGCTCATTTCTTGCACTTCTAAGATCTTGATTTGTCTGACCTCTTCCTTCTTCAACACATTTGAAAATGTCTGGACCCTCCGACCGTCGTTTTGACTTGAACCTTGGAGAAGAGACAGCCACGCCTTCTCCAGACAACATATGGCGCCCATCCTTCATATCCCCTACTGGTCCTCTTACCGTTGGGGATTCTGTGATGAAGAATGATATGACCGCTGCAGTGGTGGCCAGGAACCTTCTCACTCCCAAAGATAATAGACTACTTTCCAAACGGTCTGATGAGTTGGCTGTTAAGGACTCTCTGGCTCTTAGTGTTCAGTGTGCAGGTTCTGTGTCTAATATGGCCCAACGCCTATTTGCTAGAACCCGCCAAGTTGAATCATTGGCTGCTGAAGTGATGAGTCTCAAACAGGAGATTAGAGGGCTCAAGCATGAGAATAAGCAGTTGCACCGGCTCGCCCATGACTATGCTACAAACATGAAGAGGAAGCTTGACCAGATGAAGGAATCTGATGGTAAGGTTTTACTTGATCATCAGCGGTTTGTGGGTTTGTTCCAAAAGGCATTTATTGCCTTCGTCCTCTAGGGTTGTACCTGGTAATGAAGCTTCAAATGATGAACCTCCAATGCCTCCTCCTTCTGGGGTTTTGTCAAGTACTGAGGCTCCGGATAACCACCCTCCGGTGCTTTCTCTTTCTGGGGCTCTACCGACTGCTGAGACTTCCCCTAAGCAACCTTTGTGAAGGCTCCCTTTTGT